CCCTGTGTATTTCAAACTCCACTGTTACTATTCCTAGAAACACAGTGTATTTCACACTCCACTGTTACTATCCCTAGAAACACAGCATTGCTGTCATTGGAAGGCACTTCTGGAGATCATCTAGTACAACTCCCTTGCTCAAAACAGACTCAGCTAAAGCAGGTCTCCCAGCACTGTGTCCAGTTGGGTTTTGAGCATAGAGATTCCGCATCCTCTCCGGTCAATCTGTTCCTGTGTTCAACCATCCCCACAGTAAAAAAAAAAAAAAAAATGATCCCTCTTCTTCTTATGTTTAAGCAAAATTTTCTGTGTTTAAATTTGTAGCCATTGCCTCCTGTCCTGTCTCTGGGCACTGCAGAGAGAAGTTTGGCTCCATCTTTTTTGCTCCCTACATTAGGCATTTATGCATACCGATAGGATTTTCCTAAGCCTCCTCTCCTCCAGGCTGAAGAGTCCCAGCTCTCTCAGCACGTTCTCCTGTGTCAGCTGCTCCAGAACCATCACAGCCCTTCACTGGATTCACTCCGGTGCATCCATGTCCTTTCTGTACTGGGGAGCCCAGAACTGGACACAGCAATGCAATTGTGTCCCACCAATGCTGAGCAGAGGGCAAGGATCAGCTTCCCTGACCTGCTGGTGATACTCTACCCAATGCAATCGAGGATGCCGATCTGTGGACTCTGTGCCCTCAGCTCTGAATCGTTTCTACAAGAACAGAAAAGACCGAGCATAAGCCTGAGGGATCATCACTCAGGAAGAGCTAAAACTTAATGGTCACATCACCAAACTATGACATCAAAAAGGCAGATTAAATCCCAGGGATGAACAACGTAGAAGAGGGAACCATGGGAGTTTTAGTTAGAGAATCATTAATTTGGTATAGGTCTTTGCACTGGTTGACAAGAAATTCCATGTGGGAACTCCAAGGGCTTCTCCAGACAGAAATTTGGGTTAAAAACACAGTATACTTATGAAGAACTATCTGCACCTCCCTATTTCATTGTTAAAAATCCTCACCCAGTTTCAACTGCATTTTTTTTTTCCTTAATTCAGTTTGAGTAATGCAGCAAAAACATCTCCAACTGAGAAGACATGTTGTTTACTGGAACTCTGCTGCCCTTTGTGATTCTGACAACTAATCACAACCAACTGCTTCTATTTTGCACAGTTTTTAGTGCTAGAGTAGGAGGAGGTTAAAATTTAATGCATTGGCAAAGTCAGATCTCAATTATCTGAGATAATGGAGTGGAGAGAGCACATAAAAGTAAAAACGTAGATAAAACACATTCAGATAAGCTACATGAACAAACAGGGAGGGTGTAAGCGAAAGAAGAAAGGGAAGTCAGTGTGTGTTTCACAGAAGAGGCACTGATGTACACTGGTCAGCTGGGGATGCTAGGCATTCAAAAAGCTGCGAGTCTTCAAACCAGCTCTGGATGTAGACATGCAGCTAGCGTACTGCTGGCCTCAGCTGGCCAAGCACTGCAGGCTAACCGGGCTTGGCTGGATCTGCTCTTGTCCATGTAGCTCACTTCCCAATCTGGTCCACAGCCTCCAAATCTTGATCATCCACATACCAGGCCACGTGTGTACACCAAACCACACTCAGAGTGGTTGTCTACTCTTCCCGTTTCTGGACAAAGCCAAGCAGTTTCAAAAGGAAACCTGGAGCAGTTGATGGTATCCAGTACTCTAAGGACTGGTCTGTGGAGGTAATACAGACGCAGGTCCCAAAACGCCCCTCAAATGCTGGTGCAGTAAGCCTACTGCTGTCAAATGCTCCTCAAACCCCTCATGGCAGTGCCCGGGGCACAGCACACACCTGTGGTATCCCGCTGCACTTCAGCAGACTGTATCGTTGCCCTCCGCTTAGTTTAGGTGTCTTGAACTCAGCAGTAAGGGAGTGGGATGACAGTCACGTCTCAGGATCGCAAGAGCCCCACAAGCGTCCAGGGAAGAGCCAGGCAGGTGCTGTGCAACAGAGGTACCAGCAGCCTGCTCCAAGTGCTATCCCAGGGAAGCACCCACAAGAGCCAGCCCACACCCTGAGCCTGCATGACACAGTGGCCACAGAGGGCACAGACCTACCCGATGGACATCCGGAGGGAGATCAGTTCCAGGGCAGTTATTGGCAGGAGTAGCATTGGCTTTTCTGCAGCTGGCACTCTGGGCACAAGGCAGCACCGGGGACCTGCCCTTACTGCTGCTTCCCGCCCCAGATCAGTCACTGCAGCGCACAGAGATGCCAGCGGGGAGGAGTGGGAATCAAGAACACCACTCTCCAGGGTTTTAAAGTCCACAGGAGTGGATTTTTTTCCCAGTAATTTCAAGAGTTTTGATTCTGATTCTCAGTCCTAAAAATATTCCACAGGCACCAGGAATAACCTTTATGCCTCACCCACATTCAAGGTGATGGAGTAATGAGTTCCCCATCCTTTCTATGTGGATGTAGCAGTCGTCTTTTCCGGAGCTAAATCACTGTGAAGCACTGTTCAGTACCATTAAAGCACCGCTCGGCTCAGGCCAGAGTTATCGGCGTAGCGGCAGATTGATGGTTCTCCTACACGTATTAAGTAATTTGGACTGGAAGCTGCCACAAAACAGCCAGATCTCATTTTAATCTGCATGTAAGATATATATCTGTGGCCTTTGCCTAAAGGTTTGTCACTCTAGCTGAAAGCTTTACAAAGGTCAGGATATTCAACTTTCAGCTTTAAATTCTAATGACAGATGAGAGATACATTTCCTAGCATAAATATTTATACATAAACATACTTTATATATGCATGTATACACACCCCCCCAATCTTTAAATATCTCAGCATATGTGTAAGTGTAGCAAATACTGTCACAGAGTCACAAGTGAATGGAGTAACATACTGTGAGTCTGCTCCGACCTAAGATGTGGATCTGAAAGATGTGGATCTGAATAGAAAAAGGAAATTATTTGAGATAATGGGGCCTGGCAATTTCAGCAGTGTTCCTTCTGCACTAAAATAAGCAAGTTAAGACTAATTGGCAATGTAAGCTCCAAGAGGTCTCAAGATTGATAAAATGGTAAACAAAAGCTAATCTATCAAATTTAGCAGGAGGCACATTACCAGTGCCGAAAAGCTGAGAAATAGAATGGTTTGTACCGTTCTATTGCATTAATGATTATTTCACAGAAAGCAGAGATTTAAAATATTCATCTGCTACTTCCCCCTGCCCCCAACAAAGGGCAGGCTCGTTGCACTCCCCTGTGTGCCTGCTTGCTGCTGTGCACCCAGACACTTCCACGTTTAGAGAGAACAAATTAACAAAGCAGAAACTGTGCATGACCCACATACTTAAAACACAACGGCAACACTGACTGTCTCAGGAGTCACCGGAAGGCCAGCAGTGGTTCCACTGAACACCCCCTCTGTCCTGTATATGGGGGGTCTCATGCAGCACTGTATCCAAAACAGTGCAAGAAGAATGTGTCTGAAGGGCAGCCTCCAAGGACCAAAGAGCCTTACATCTGCCAGCCTCGCTCTTACAGCCCCTACGTACAGACAGGGACAGGCTGATCTTTACTCACCCCTCCTGGTGTAAGGGCAGCACTGAACCCAGAAACAATGGTATCACAATTAGCCCATCAAGCAAGTTGCCTCCTGCTTTCAATTCTGAGAGCTACATACTCATTGCACGTAGTGTCTTTGCTTTAAATGTGGCCTTAAAAAGACGACCAAGAATTGAAGTGCCTTAAAAAGATGCAGCTAAAAACCAAAAGGGAAATAAATCTGTCTTCCACAGAAAGTCACCCCTCAGGTAAGAAGGACTCAAGAGACGGCCAGCTCCTAAATCTTACCAGTCCGTGTACAATCATTTGATTTTGAAGTTACAGCTTGCTCTTAACCAGTTGAGGCCCATGAATCAGAAATTCCTGGCACATGGGCAATTTTTAGTCAATAGGTGGTGGGAATTGGAGTTGGGAAGGGATTAAGTCCCCTTCCCTTTTCTTTTACAACCTTCCAGAAATCTCCCTTCTGAATTGCACCCCTCCCTTCTCCCACATCCCACATCCAGCAGAACTTCGTGGGAGCCCAAAAGCATTCATGTTTAATTCTGTAACAGAACAGCAAAATAAGGGGCTGCCTGATTAAACATTAAGGATCTGAGCTTTTTCTCCCTTTCTGGAAAACACCTTCAGTTTAATGGGACCAAGTTAGCAAATGCTTATCTGAAGGTTATCCATTAATTGCAGGGCTGGCCAAGTGACAGAGAAGAATTTTTCTGGGGGGCCTGAGTCATGGTGCTGTAAAAGCAAGTTAATACCATCTAATATTAAGTGCCAGGATTATCTTTTCCCTTTGACAGACCCCTCAAAAGGTAAGAACCTGTACCATTAAGACCTGCCTGTCTCCGGGACAACCTAGGAAAACAGAAGACGTCCCTCCCATTCACCTAATTTATGAAGGTCTTGATTCAAAACTTCTCTAGAAATACCCTCAGGAACTTCAAAAAGAAAGTGTGCGTGTGATGCACGTAAAACGATCTGGGAGGAGGAAGCTATGCCCATGTTCCCAGTGGAGATTTAAATGTAGATTTATTACAGACAAAATTTATTCCATCAAAATTTGTTCTCAGCCTCTGGGGACTGATTCCTCCAACACCACTCTATCGATTTCACTACCGAAGTGCTGCACTAATGAGTCAGGCTCTCCATGTCCATTGTGCTACTATAAAGGATCGCATTTTGTTATATGGACCATAAAATGCAGCAGAAGAAAATAAATCTGTTTAGCTTTTGTACCCCTGCCTGCTTTGGTGTCTGCATTACCACAGTAACTTTTTAAATAAACACTGCATACTGTTTCGTTTCTGTTTATAAAGACACAAATGATGGTGCTAATAATGGCCCCATGCAGTTATATTCTGAATCAGCTCTTTACACTTAAAAGTCTGGGGACAGCAAAGGGATTGCATAAACTGCAGGGTTTATGAAACCCATCCACGCAGAGACGTTATCTACTCACATGGTGCATAGAACATGACAAGGGTGTGCTTCTTCTTCTTCAAGGACTCTCTGAAGTCTTCACCAGCAAGGTGGATAACGCTAGTCTGTTTTTCTTCCCATGCAGGCTCAGGTGGAGGTGGTGCTTCAGGACTAGAAAAGAAGGGAAACGAGATGGGTTTGAAACTGTTTCTGGAAGCAGGCAAAGGGGCATCACGTCCAGGTGGTAACTACCACGAGGGAACTGAAGTCGAACAGTCCTTCAGGGTGCCTGTGCAGCAGAAAAATGTGCTCGATATTTCCAACTCCAGATAACAACAAAAAAGATGCAAGTTAATTTCTGGACCTTAATAACAATACAATCTTAGTGACTGTACTGAGGCGTATGAATAAGAATGCAGAATAAAGATTTCCTGCATTGCATCCAACATCTGCTTGGAAAAAACATTGTTCTTGTATCACTGTGTCATCCATGCGCATGAATTGAGAAGAACAGAAAGCAGGAGGAATCAAAAAGCAACTGATATAGAACAGCATCTTCCATTCAAACATCCTTTTTGTACTCTTTATTGCTATCGTGCACACTTCTATAAAGAATTTCATGACCTTCTCTTAAATTCAGATATTAAAGCCAGGATGCAATAATCAGCATCGTTCCACTTGGAAGACTGGGAGTGACTGAACTGGAATATTTTACCTTGATAAAGAGAATGTCAGGTTTCAATTATGACTGCACATACTGACTAGATCAGAGCAATCCCGCATATCCAGAGCGCCTCTAACAAAACTTCTGCTATTCACCAGCTCACAGACTTCTCTCAGACTCATTAAATTCATTCCTAAAAAAAGATTACTTATATAAAATCATCAGAATGGTGCCACGGTATAAAGACCTTCATATGTCGCCTTGGTAATAAATTAGCTTTTCAGACTCTCCTATCACTTTGAGTTACATCATTTTAAGTCGTAACAGGTACATAAAAACCAAGTGGAGAAAAACTCAATTTTTAAAGTCCTACTCAAGGTCACTTGGTGGACATCCATCGTCTTTCCATTGATACTGATTTGACAGTTGTTAGCAGAAGAACTGGGGCAGCTGGTCCGAATTTTCACACGAACACAGCTGGTGTGAGCTGCCATCACACAGACCATCCCATGTTGACCTGAAATAAGCCACCCAGATACTGGTAACAACCGAGCACGGCAGCACAGCCTGCAGTCACCACAGAAACCCACGAGGCTGCGACTAGACCACTCACTGGGACAGGTTTCCACAAGCTGTACGTTCATCTCTAGCCTGCACCCCAGATGCATCCCTATTTCCACCAACTTGGGTGCAGCCGTGACAATTATATCCCTGGTCAGCAAACAAGGATGACTTCTCCACTGCGTCTCTCCCTGGGAGAGCAACGAGCACCCAAGAGCAGGAGACAAGCTGTCTGCGTTCCTGTGTTGCTGACTACCTCAGGCTGCAGACAAAAGTCTTCTGGAGGGACAGCCGGCTACAGAAGGTATTAACAACCCTTCCTTCCTTCTTGCTTACTCACCTGCCAATATGTGCAGGCAGCATCAACCTGGCTGTTTTACTCAACATAAATTATGTAGCACTCCAAATACCCCAGCTCACTGGCGACTTAACACCCAGTATGGACACAGCAGCCTGGAGCCCGAGTATGCAGGGAGGCCAAGGGAATACTGTATCTCAGTGTAAAATACAGATAAAACTTCCCAATATGCTACAAAGATGTTGCCAGACGACAGCTATTGCCTGATTTGAAGCACTCAGAGATGTAGTTTAAAAAGGAAAGAAAAAAAACCCCACAACCCAAAGAAATGCCACACAACCCCCCTCCCCCCACCAAGTAAGAGGGGAAAAATTAAGATTACATTCCTCACGCCAACTGCACTTAAGAGTTAAATGATTTAAAAACTTCACAAAACACTGGCAGTTTTTCTCTCCTTGAATAATGCAGAAAATACATTAGGCTTACAGTACCTAAAGGAAATGCATATTTTATTCCAGAATACCTAAAGAGAGAATTATATCAGCAATTTACTTCTTCGGAATGGAATTATTTTCATCATCCATCAAACTTAATTCTGCATTATTTTAGCACACCACCCAAGAAAAGTTGGTTAGTGCAGACAAAGGTGCTGGTTTTGTTGGTCTCGCTGGCTTTCCTTCAGCCCCACGTGGCTGGTGGTCTAGGGACTGGCCCTGAAATGCTGGAAAGAGAAAAGTACAACTGCAGAAATTCAGCTTCTAACAGTGAAATCTGCTGCTTCGTATAAAGACAGAGCCACAAATGTTCTGTTTATTTTTCAGAGCCATTGCAATTCCTCCTCTGGTGAGAGGCTTAAGGTACATGTGAAAAATATTTTGGGAAAGAAATACCAGAACAACTATGAAAAACCCTGCAGCAAATAAAGGATTTGGTGTATTACAGACCATAATTAACATACATGTTTGTATGGCTTTGAATACTGGAATTCAATTTGGGTTTTTTTGCAAGGGATATAGGCAGTTAACGAAGCTGGGTTTAAGATTTACTTCCTCACCAAAGTAGTCTTCAGGAGGCAGTAACCAGGACCCCAAATACTATCTCAACCCTTAAAAACTTACTTTAGCAGCCAGTCGATGATCTTCTTCTTTGTTCTGAGGTGTGGCAGAGTGTATTTCTCCTCTCCATCCTTAAAATACTTCAAAGTAGGAAACCCTGAGATGTGGTATCTTTCTGCCAGCGCCTTGTTGACGGTAGCATCGACTGCTGCGAGGACACCTGGACTCTGAAACAGAGACCACTAACTGTAAATCCCAGCAACATACACCCCCCCTTTGGCAGGAAACAGTGAACTTGGAGGTAACCACTCATGATCCAGAAGCCTGCACTTCCTCAGGTCCTCAGTGCAAACACGCAGAAAGACACTGAGGACTGATGCAAAACCAAGAAGGGACATCTTACAGACTAAGTGTAACCAGTGTTACCTGTTCTCCTCCCATTTCTGACAGGATTCCCTGTATATAATTCATTTTATAGTGTCAAAGAACTGTTCCCAGGAATGGCAGTTCTTCCCACAAACCCCCAATTCTCCCAGAAGAAATGAGCATTTTTAAAGACAAGTTTACTTCAAGGCAAATTAATTTTTCCCTAACTTGCAGGCATCTCTACATGGACCGCTTCAGAGTCACAGGAGAACAGACACTTGTAGAGTGTGATTCATCTGATCTTTGTTTTTCTCATCTCCTCCATTTCCAACAACTACAAAGGGACTCTAGATGTCTCTACTGAAGATGCTTAAAATATGGGGGAGACTAATCCTGCCTCTCTTGCACGGCGTACACAGAGTGAGACTGAATCAATAACACTCATATTACTGGATGCCTCTTCTCCAGCCATGCCGATGGAGCACTTAAGATGAAGCTAATGGAGTGATGCAACCATAAAACCAGGGTATTTGAAAGAGGGACCAACCCTCTCTGGTTTTTTTTTTCAACTCTAATTCATAAATAAAAGCCTATGTTTCTTCACATTCGATGCCTTTAAGTAAGGGGGAAAAATCTATTTTGGATTTGATCTTATTATGTATAAGGCCTACAGCAGAATACATAAACATTTTTCGATTTTGTTTTCGTTCAAGACAGAATGTTCTTTCTAAGACTTTGGCAGGGCTCATGCATTAGCGATGAGACTGTACTTTGGAAGCACATTTTGAAGGGTCCTGTGGGAGGATGAGAACAGCTGAATTTGTTGTAGGGAGAAAAGTCACTTTTATTACTCCAGTTATTTATTACTGATTATTTGAAGGATATAATAAAAGAAATTAGCTTACATCACTGGCTACATGGAGAAACTCTGCAGCCTTCTCATATTCTGGCTTCATTTTCTTACAGTGCCCACACCCTGCCAAAAAAAAAAAAAAATCCAATTAAGTTGTACACGCCATGGTTATTCACTGACCCATGTAGCTATTATCAAAATCCAAAACCATGTGAAAGAGATTTACTAGAATTTAGTATGCATTTTACTTAATTTATTTCTAAAGCCTTAGTATGATTTAGGATCTTTTCCAAAGTGGTCAACATGGTTTAAACACAGAATTTAATCTAGTAAAAAATAATAATAAAACCCTTGAATTCGCACCCACGCCTCTTGACTCCTGGAAAGTACTATAAGGACAGTACTTGTCAAGCCCATCGCTTCAGCATGCTCTTGGGTGAGGCACAAGCTCACCAATTTCAGCTTCCAAATCTTTTTCTGCTTTAAAAAGTAACAAGACAGGCCCCCGCGTGACTTCCTGACTTTAAACGGAGACTAGCACAGCTTAATAGTGTAATGTAATTTGAATTAAACTGCACTGATAATAAGTCCCCGCTTTACAGTGGTGCAGCATGTCCCTCTAGCAAGGATTTGCACTGATTTAATCACATCGGTGTAATTACACCACCACACATGTTCTCAACATAAGCAGGGCCTGTAAAACCGAGATAATGGTGCTTTCTCGCTTGTGCGAGTCCTCCAGAGATCTGCCGTTCCTTCACTGCTAAGTGCTGACATTACAATAACGTAAAATGAATGCATGAGCGAGGAAAGCAGATTTAAAATAAATTATTTGGGTGTAAATTAAAGTGCTTTCAGCCGGTGCAACTGCTTCCAGGCAAGCTGAACTTTGGGGACCAGGTGAGGTTCCTGCTGCGACGCGAAGCCGACGGCGCGATGCCCCGCACAACCCCCGCCGTCACCCCCAGACCAGCGCACCCCCAGTCCCGCAGGGCAGAGCAAGGGGAGGCAGAGGTGACACCTGGGCAGGGCGAGGGCCGGGTCCCGCGCACCAGCGGGGCTGCGGAGGGCTGTACACGACCCAGACACGCTGCACTTCCTGCCCCAGTGCCACGCAATCTCAACGCAACCCTCGCCGCACTTTTTCCTCTTGTTAGCAGCAGCAGCCAGCTCTTCTATCTTCAGCTGTTACTAATAGAAGAGGCACTCGAAAACCCAGACTTTGCTGAGCTTTTGGAAGTTGTATCTGAAAATACAACTAGAAATCTGTTTCGGGGCAGCTTCAGCAAAAGCCGTTTCTAAGGTGTATGGGCAACAGGTCTGGGGCTATTTTTACACCACTGTCTGAAATAAAATACACCAAGGACGCTGAAGCTCAGCACTGCTTTAATTGCCACTGACGGGGTGACTGCCAAAGCCAGCAGATGCAAACCTAAGCCTGAGCTCAACCAGACAACCATGTTCTACATAGCTCAAGTCGAAGAGTGGTCGGAGCTACAACGGGATAGGACATCCATCCAGGTGTAACTCCACCACAGCACAGGGACTCCAGCACAGCTCCAAGCACCACAGCACACCATGGAATGCTCTCAGGGCACAGGGTGGACTCATTTGAGTAAAGACTGCTGATCCCACCTGAGAGTTACAGCAAATACCCCAACAGTCGATTCCAGACAAAGCTCCAGTTCAAACACCAGCGAAGGTCCATACTGCACAGCGGCCACAGCATGAAAAAGCCCCACAGTTCTCCTGAGCAAACCCCACTGCTTTAATGTGGTAGTAGCAGCCGAACGAGGGGACATCAGCTGGAGGAGCAAGCTTGGCTTTGGTTTTACAGAGTGGTGGGAGCATGTGCCACTAAGCTGGGAACCTGATGTGACAGCTTCAGAGGTGAATTCGGGAAGAAGCTTGAAAAGGCTGAGGCAGAGTTACTGTCTCAGCACTGCTTGTCTTGGTTAAGAACATGAAAGAGGCTGGCAAAATGATTTGTTTGCCACCCACAGAAAACTTGCAGGCATATGGCTTTGTGGAATGGGCTGACGGTTCCCTGACACCTGCTGGAGTTCATTTATTTCTCCTTTTAGGAGCAGGGAACTTTATTCAATTTGTGCTCTTCCTCATTTCTAAACTGAGGGCATCTTGGGAATACTTCAGATACATGGGAACCTCTCCGAACTAGCTACCTCAAATTTGTAACAAAAAAATACATTTTGCCTGGGTAACTTCACCTTGGTGGCCTTTACAGAGCTTGTTCTCCAGCCACAGCAAGCTGCGTACTGTGCTCCAGATACAGCATTACATACATACTGTGCTCCAGATACAACATCTACACTATATTCCACAATATTCCACAATTCCTGATCAACCAGAAGTGTCAAACAACCCAGGTTTTCACAAATCTATGCAGAGAGGGGAAAAAAAAACCAAAACAAACCAAGCTAGGTATTCTTTGCCCAAGAAATAAAAAACAATCCAAAGCATCTGAAATTCATGTCAGTGATATTTTGGGGAGAGGTATCCAGACTATGAAATGTCACTGTTCTGGGTTCTTTCATGAACATCACAGACAAAGCACCACTGTCTGCCACAGAGCTATCTTACTCATGCCTAAAATAAAGGGGAAGCAGGATCAGGTCTTCAAAGGCACCTAAATGCAAACTGAAGTCCTCAAATCTTTATCATGCTTGTTCTACCCCTGACAGAGGGCAGCAGGTATGCCAGCCTGGAAATAAGCCACCACATTAAACTGAATCGGAAAGAGAGACAAGGAATGTTAAGAGCTTCTCCCACTGAAAACGGTGCTTCTCTGACCACCTCTATGAGAATTCTGCTATTGCGTGCTACAGCCTGCTTCCACCTACCACTGCAGAAAAGGGGAGATAAGAATTAGAAGTCAGACCTACACACTGAAAATCAATTAATCTCTTCTATGATTATTTATCCTACCTTTCAATAATCCTGTGAGGATTGCCATTAAAGTCTCAAGGCCAACGAAAAAGTAATTTAAATGAATTCCAAGGTCACGGTCTCCCCTTGGATTGCTACATTAGGTTGTTCAGCAGCAGCTGTATCCCTCTGCGCTAAGCTCTTCTTGTTTTAGATGTTTCCTGTTCATAAAATGAATGGGAAAATAGCAACCACCCTACAGGCCCCTTAGCCCAGATGCTCCAACATGCTGCATAAGGTCTGCTGGGAGAGCGGAAGGAAGGCTGCAGGTCTGCAGTGGGCATCTGTGACGGATGTGCTCTGAGAAGACGCAGTGTCACGTCAAGCGTTCGCTGGCATTAAAACTAAAAAACTAAGCACGGGAAGTGACTCATTCAATCCCGGGTGAGAAGAGAAAGGTCACAGTCAACACAAGGATGCCCCACAGCCTGCTCCAAGCACTGAAGGCCTCTGAGCCTCTCTGGGTCATGGCTGATGGAAACACCCAATGGACCTGTGAGTGTCTACACAAGAGGTACAAGTCAGAGTTACTCTCCATGTGGCAGCAGAAACCAGTTCGGGTTCAGTGCCTGGCTTTGCTGAACAGTTCTGGACAACTCCTTTCCCCTCTCAACACCTCATCTTGCTTCTCTTGCACAAAAGGAGCCCCAGGCCACGGGAGCCAAGGTGCCTGAATGGCAAAGAGCACACAGAGTGTAAAGGAGGAGTCCTACAAGACAGGACAAAGAAGTCAAAGCTTACAAAACTTAGTTGTAGGACATGTGGTACAAGACAGGCCCTTGCTAACTGTTTTTAAAATAGATGTCTAAATGAAGCAAGGATTCCACTTTCCCAGCTTATTTATAATCAATCTTCTCATTTGCAGCTCGCAGGCAGGAGATAAACAGCCCCTTTCTTCAGTGTAGTCGCTGTCACACAGCTTAGCTCAGCTGCACCCCCAGAACAACGGCGATCACAGGCCCCTAGATGACTCCAGCACAGAGACATCACCTCCCTCCAGAATCCTACCGCAGGGCAGAGGACAACACTCGCTCAGCACTGCGTCCTTCCTAGAGCACAGCCTTCCTCCAGCGCAGAGGCAACAGCCAGGTGTGGGCAGAGCGATGCTGCTGTGCAAGGGCAAGCAGCACAAGCACAAAGGGAAGGAACAAACATAGGGAGAAACCTCTTTTCCAAGTAAACATTGTATATTTGTTTACAGCAGCCTGTTTGGCACCATGGCAGAGATTCATTACACAGAGCACAGTTGCTACAAACGCTTTCAGAAGTGAACTAATGCAAACACTTCTACTGTTAAACCGAGTTTTGCCTGCAGAAGGCGGGCAGAAAACCAGTCATGCAGTTCCAGCTGAGCTCTTGCACGTGCTGTCTCGGCGCTGTCCCCAGAACATAAATCTCTGTTTCTCTCTGTCATTCACTGTTTGTTTCTTCCAGGTTATTATGGCTCTATAAACAAACACCATGCTTTTGGTCACGTCCTCTCATTTAAAGCCAACATTGTCTGAGGATCTGAAGGGTGCATGATAAGCAACAACAGATAAAAGCAACATCCAAGCAGTTGCGGACATGGAATTTCTGACATGAAGAACCCTAGAAATAAATTAAATTGCAAATAAAGATTTTAAAGAATCATTGCATTTCTGCCATTGACAGGCTGCTTGAGTACTGTTATCGCATACCAGCTCTTTATTGTATGATACCAGCTCTTCATCTATCCATAGCTGCATACCAAAAATACCTCCATTAGCCTGATGAGAAAATGAATTTGAAGCACAAAGCACGTCCTGCTTTCAGCAAGTGGGTCACTAGCAGTTCAGCCTACACTCATGGAGGATTTACAGACAACTACAAGAAACAACAAAAAAAATAATCTCAAAAAACTCAGATGCACCTTTCATCTCTAAACATTTACACCTGGGGATACACCTTTGGTTTCTCC